GTGACGTGACCCTTATCCTAAGATGTAAATGGCTGTAAATTCTCCAGATCATGTGCATCCAAGTCAAGCCACCCTTTGTCAGCTTCAGTTGTAAAGCACACAGCATGCCACAAAGCTCTACTGGACTGGTCCAGCATTGAGTTCTTACCTTAAGGAAGCCCACGATCCGTTCTACAAATGCTTTGGCATTAATATGGACATTGTTGTATCCTCATTCTGCTTTAATCTGAGGGTTTCTTTACGGTGTTATCGGCATATTTGCAGGGGCTAGCTTTTGCCTCCCAGCTACCATCACTGTATGGCCCAAGGCACGAGGCAGGAACCTGGATTCTCAAGTATGTAAGACTCACGGACTCCCCCTGGATATCCCTTGCAAAGATCTCCAAGATCTTTGGTCACATGTAAATTGAACATCAGAATAGAAGCCTTTTCCGTTGGTGAACTCAACAGGTTTGTCATTCGGTGTACTCAGAACAATGTGGGCACATTTACAGCATCCTGCACGTAGGGGAGTCCCATGAGATTCCACGCAGGCCTCCACTCGCTTGAAATGAGGCAAGGGCATAAATAAAATTGAGGCCACTGGATGGGCTTGCTACCCTTCTGAACATTTGTCCTGCTCCAGCAAATGACACCGTTCAGTGATGATGGATCAAGACATCACCTGGTTGGATGTTTTCAGTTTTCAGAGAGTTAAAGAAAATGACTGCGAGATGAGTAGATACGGTATCTCATCATTCTTCTCCACTTCCTCAGTAGACCATCACTTCTTGCTTCTCCCTCTGGAGGTAGTGTGGCAGCCACTGGTGGATGCTGACACAATTGTAATTGCCGTCTCCTTCTACGATGTCTTCATCCCAGAAATCCACATTGTGAATCTTGTTTGAACTGCTTCCAATACAAATATATCCTTCCTTAATTATGGAGACCAAAACTGTTCACAATACTTCAAAAGTGGTCTCACCAAAGCCCTATATGGCCAATAACATGACTTCCTGCTTTTGTACTTCATCCCCCTTGGAATAAATGTCAACATTTCATTTATCTTTGTAATCACCTTTACCACGGCATACTAACTTTTGTTTTTCGTGTACAAAGACACTGTATACTGCAGCATTCTGCAGACTCCCTCTGTTTAAATAGTACTCTGCTTTTTCTATTATTTCCACCAAAGTGGACAACTGCACATTTTCCTACTTTGTTCAAAGTGACCTGCATGACGTCAATGAACCAAGAGAGAAAGAAATCTTAGCAAAACTGTATGCTTATTCCATTTATGCCAAGCCAAATGAAACATAGGTAGCTCCCATTGAACACAGAGATTTTGTGATTTCCCTTGAGTGACATTGTGGCAGATTTCTGTCAGGAAGTCTTTATAGTTCCCTGCTGTGGTTCAAGGAGGAGATCTGCTCCCTGAACACCCTGAGCAAGTATGGCCTCCACCTGAGAGCCTTTCTATCTTCCTTCCTCTTAAATACCTTATCTTTCTGTGTATGCATTCTCTTCATTCTCTTAGTCATGCTCAATTCCACAGGTACTGCCTATTAATTTAAACATAGCCAGGGAGATTTTTGTTAGAACTCTTGAAGGCAATGCATACTCCATCACCAGTCACACTAACTTTATTTTCTAGAGTCATCGATGTTTCCATGTTTTAATCAAGAGAAATCACCAAACACTGGTTCAATTGAAGTAATGGCCAGAAACAAATCAAACAGTAATGAACCTGTAAGCATAAGATGTTCTCTTTAAATAATGCTAGGGTTGGGGTGGGTTGTTCTTGTTGCTGAGCACATGTTCAGCTGTGTGAGCACTTGGCTCTCAAACAGAACCTCTGGTATCAAAGCAAGGCACATTGCACACTGAATGACAACATGATTGGCTATTCTGCATATTTCCAGTGACTACTTACTGTGCGTGCACAAATGCCCTTCCCAACATAACGTACAGTGCAATTCACCCTAAAAATGTGCACATGGCTGCCATTCCGCAGATTGATGGGCATTTCTAGTTGCCAAAAATCTAGCACAAATGATCCCAATTTCTCACCCATTGCATTTTATTTGATGTACCTGATTTGATTTTCTGACTATTATATAGCAAATTAAAGCATGCTTGCAAACAATTACTGAAGCCAACTAAATTTTAATTTTAAGGAGAATTCGTAAATCTAAATTTTCAATATTAACCAACTCAAAACACATGGACAAAATCTGAGTAAATAACTACTTGATAAAAACAGGAGGTTTTGTTTGTTTCATATTGTTTGTATTTATCTTTTTTTGTTGTCAATTGTTTCTCCCCTCTTTTGTTTTTAATTCACAGGATGTGTGTGTCACTGGCCAAGCCAACATTTTATTGTCCATCGTTAGGGAAGTTAAAAGTCAATCATTTTACTGTGGATCTGGAGTCACACGTGAGCCTGAACCACGTAATGATGACAGTTTTCTTCCCTAAAGGCCATTAGTGAAACAGATGGGTTTCTCCTAACAATGGACAATGGTTTCATGGTTATCATTAGACACTTAATTCCAGATTTTTTCATTGAATTCAAATTCCACCAACTGTCACGGCAGGATTTAAATCTATGTCCCCAGAAATAGTCCAATGAGAATACAACTAGGCCACTCCTCATCCAAATGTGAAGAGATTTTGCATTTATTGCTCAGCTGTTATATTCTGATACTTGTCCTTACAATTCTTCATATGTGAGTTATGACAATGGGTGTTGAGCAAATATGAATCCAAAGGCATATTCCCTCCCTTATCCAGGAATGTATCTTGCCCAGGGATGCTAAGACCATCTAACACACATCTTTCAAAACCCCCAAAAAAATCTTTATTTAGATTTAAACACGTACTATCTTGTTAAAAATCACTTTACATTTGGAAGGGAATAGCACAGATGTAGTCATAATGGAGCACAGACAGCTTCTTCCCAAAGCTTCTCACAAAGCCAGTTCCCATGACCAAAAATCAGAAACAAATTATCCTTGCTTAGGCCAAATCAATGCAAGACAGCAGCAAATATCTCGCACATGCAAATCCATTTATCACAACATTAGCACCGACCATTTCTGTCTAAAATCATTCCATACGCAGATTAACAGACAATGACAGAAAAAGAGGTTTACAAGCTGAAAGTTTCTGCAAAATGCTAGTACACGTAATATGATATGAAGCCTATCGTAGCTGACAGTTTATGACAAAGGACACCAAAATCATTCAGTCTTCAAATGATTTAATGTTTATGATGTTCAATGTTCATTCCTTCTGAATGCAGGCAACAGTGCTTTAAAGAATAAAGTTATTTTAAATCAATTCACACATATAGAATAGGTATTTACTACATTCCACGTGCAATGATTTTGTCACAAATTGTACTAAATGATGAAAATGTCATAATGCATGAGATGGAATGAGCTATCTTAGCCACTGATGTTGGTCACTGAATTTGTTTGCAAAACAAAATACTTTCCAATTGGCAACAAGTTTAATTCTGTTCCTTTAAAATCATTATACTCATGGTACACTAAAGATGTTTTTAGCCTTCTTTTTGGAGAGGTGTTGGCTGATCAGTTAAACTACTGCTGAAATGTTTCTGTCCAATATATTTGTGCCTCAGTTCCCATGAATTAATATAACTACATTTAGTCTTCCTGATTGATAGGTTACAATTCTAAAGCCAGTTACAATACATACATAAGTATAAGACAAGTTTAGATCCTTTTTGAAAAATAATCAAATCATTTGCTATGCAAGTAAGTATTGCTGATACGTCAAAAACAACAAATTAAGCAGGTTTCCAATGTAACTGAGTTAATAGAGTTGATTGCTGTGCTGACTCAAGCTACCAATAATTTTGCTCTCTACAAATCTTCCTTGAATATTCAGTTGGAATTGCTTAAGATGCAAATAGTCATTGCTTCCAAAACATCAGTTTCAATCATTTACTCTGTGGTGGTGACAGAAGGTGTTTAGAGGGGGAACACTGGTATCAACACATAATTCATCCATAGCTAGGTGAAAGCAACTAGCATTCTGCACCAGTGTGGTTGTTGCCAAGAGCAAAAACGTTGGTATTGTTGGTCAATGACAAAGGAACTGGCTAATCATGGGCTGGCATGTAAACACACTCATGAGGTATTTCAGTCAACGGCTTCTCTTGAAACTAGTGAAGACAAATTCCACCCTTGTTTCATCCTTTTTACATTTGATGGGTAGTTTGGTAAGTCAGGGAGGCAAAATGTAGCAGTGTTGCCATGAGATTATATTGTGAGATGTAGCAGAACAAGCCATGTTGTAATGTGTGGAAAGGCAGCTCCTATGCCATTGTGTAATATGCATCAGTTAACATCTTACCTCTTTTCTGATTTCTTGGCATTAATCCCTCTTTTCTAGTTGGTGAACCTAGTAATCCAATAAAAAGGGGAGAGTCTGTGGCCATCCTTGCCTTGTTTGAGGATTGAGGAATTTTGATTATCCCAGTCTTGGTTGGGCTCAGGAAAAGATATGATCTATGATCACAGTCATAGACACAAATGATATGAGGGTGACTACAAGTAAATATAGCATTATTAAAGTGATGTCCTCATCAAATAGAGAGAAAAAATCAATTAGGCACATGCATATTCTGAAGAACAAAAATCAGTTGCTTCACTGCTTTCTAAGTGGAGTGACTGACAAATACAATGAACATTTCACCATTATTATGTGAATGTCTATGTGGCACTTGAGGAAATAAAATGAGTTTTAGCCTCTCTACATAAGAAGTGATCATACATGATTTGGGATTGAAATATTATTAGTATTAGGTCAAGCATATTTTGGAAAATGCTTCGCTGAACCCTGGGGCAATGCAATACTAATTTTTAAGTTTTATTAACCTTAGAAAGGATGTCAAAAATAAATACAATCATACGTGGACATAACCACAACATGCAATTTTCTTTTGTTCGGATTATAAGTAGGACATTGGCTCATAGAAATTTAAGACATACCTATGGGTTATCTGGGATCCCCTTAAACTAGACATGGTGTCTTCCAGATTCTGCCGAAGATCTACAATATTCTGAACAGTTCTTTTCCTCTGTGTCTCTGGATCTTTTAATCAAAAGAAAGAAAACAAAAGTATTACATTTATTGCAACCTTGATTTTCTTCCACAGTTCTGAAATTGATCAAGATTAGCCAAATATCATCGAGTTCTAACTAAAGTGTGCCAGGCATACACAAGAAAGCAAAGAAGATGATCTAGTGCGATATATGTGGGAAAGCGAACGTAGCCATTCAAAAACTGGTTTCAGTTAAACCAGTTGACCCACTTTCCTCCAATTCTTCATACCTACAAAGTTTGAAAAAAAATCTTTCAATTAACTAGTATTGAGTTAGGACTGAATGGAACAGAATGGTGAAGAAAAGATATCAAAAGCAGTTGCTCAAAACTAATTCCAGTTTGATTGAATATAACAAGGTGTTGAGCTGGATGAACACAGCAGGCCAAGCAGCATCAGAGGAGCAGGAAAGCTGACGTTTCGGGTCTAGACCCTTCTTCAGAAATGGGGGAGGGGAAGGGGATTCTGAAATAAATAGGGAGAGCGGGGGAGGCACAAAGAAGATGGATAAAGGAGAAGATAGGTGGAGAGGAGACAGACAGGTCAAACAGGCAGGGTTGGAACCAGTAAAGGTGAGTGTAGGTGGGGAGTTAGGGAGGGGATAGGTCAGTCCAGGGAGGATGGACAGGTCAAGGAGGCGGGATGAGGCTGGTAAGGTAGGAGATGGGGGTGGGGCTTGAGGTGGGAGGAAGGCCAGATTAGGGAGGCGGGGACGAGCTGGGCTGGTTTTGGGATGCGATTGAGGGAGAGGAGATTTTGAAGCTTGTGAAGTCCACATTGATAGCATTGGGCTGCAGGGTTCCCAAGCGAAATATGAGTTGCTGTTCCTGCAGCCTTCTGGTGGCATCGTTGTGGCACTGCAAGAGGCCAAGGATGGCCACGTCATCCAAGGAGTGGGAGGGGAGTTGAAATGGTTCGCGACTGGGAGGTGCAGACGTTTGTCGCAAACCGAGCGTAGGTGTTCCACAAAGCAGTCCCCGATTGCAGGAAAAGTGCCGGGGGTGGTGGGGCTGGTGGGGAATGTGGAGCGGACAAGGGAGTCATGGAGAGAGTGGTCCCTCCGGAAGGCAGATAAGGGTGAGGAGGGAAAAATGTCTTTGGTAGTGGGGTCAGATTGCAGATGGCGGAAGTGCCGGAGGATGATGCGTTGGATCCGGAGGTTGGTGGGGTGGTACGTGAGGACAAGGGGGACCCTGAAACCACAGGAAGTGCTACACCTGCCCCTACACCTCCCCCCTCACCCCCATCCCAGGCCCCAAGAAAACCTTCCACATCAAACAGATGTTCACCTGCACATCTGCTAATGTGGTATACTGTATCCGGTGTTCCCGATGTGGCCTGCTCTACATCGGGGAAACCAAGCAGAGGCTTGGGGACTGCTTTGTGGAACACCTACGCTTGATTCGCGACAAACATCTGCACCTCCCAGTCGCGAACCATTTCAACTCCCCCTCCCACTCCTTGGATGACATGTCCATCCTGGGCCTCCTCCAGTGCCACGATGCCATCCGAAGGTTGCAGGAACAGCACCTTATATTTCGCTTGGGAACCCTGAAGCCCAAGTGTGTCAATGTGGACTTCACAAGCTTCAAAATCTCCCCACCACTGACCACATCCCAAAACAAACGCAGCTCGTCCCCACCTCCCTAACCTGGCCTTCCTCCCACCTCTCCACTCCTCCCACCTCAAGCCCCACCCCCATCTCCTACCTTACCAGCCTCATCCCACCTCCTTGACCTGTCCGTCCTCCCTGGACTGACCTATCCCCTCCCTAACTCCCCACCTACACTCACCTTTACTGGCTCCACCCCCGCCTCTTTGACCTGTCTGTCTCCTCTCCACCTATCTTCTCCTTTATCCATCTTCTATCCGCCTCCGCCTCTCTCCCTACTTATTTCAGAATCCCCTTCCCCTCCCCCATTTCTGAAGAAGGGTCTAGGCCCGGAACGTCAGCTTTCCTGCTCCACTGATGCTGCTTGGCCTGCTGTGTTCATCCAGCTCTACACCTTGTTATATCAGGTTCTCCAGCATCGGCAGTTCTTACTATCTGTCTCCAGTTTGAATGAATATTGTTAATGCTGATGTATTAGATTTAAAACATCAAATGATTTGGAAATTCCAGCAGATTTAACAATAAACACAACAGAACCCAGAACATTGTAGGCTTTCTGCTCCAGTTACTATATACTTAAATTAAGGAATTGTTTAAGACTCTAGTTGTTTGATTCTGCTTTCTATTATTTACACTAAGAAACACATTGTAAATGGAGGGGTAAGTCAGGCCTGTAGCCAAAAGTGCCAAAGTCTTCACTCCTCGCCAGATGGATGGGAAGCTTGAAGCCAAAGACTGCCTGCTACATCAATTCCGTTGTGTCAGCTGAATGAATTTGGGTTGTTACCAGCCTGATGGCTGGCTGCAATACAGCACAAAACTCTAGGGAGGAAAGGCTGATATTACTTTACCCCACATAAATTCCACCCCCACTAAAGGGCTGCAGGCAGTTATATAAAAGTCCACAGCCAACAAGATCCTCTAGATGGCTGTGTGATACACAATGCAAACAAATGTTACATTTTGATGGAGGAACATCAAAATAAATATTCTGCATGTTATAATAATGAAATCAGATTATATATTATGCTGCCAGGTTAAAAGACAAAACATCACCAAAAAAAGGCAGTGTAATTATTATATTTGCCAAATGACAGGAGGCTGCATATCAAGACAATCTAAATAGAGGAACATTTGATGTTCTAAGCATAAATTTAAATAAAAACAATTATTTATGAGAAATTATGAATGACAGCAATGTCCTCTGTTGTTTACTTTAGTTGATCTTGTGAATGTTTGTTTGAATAACAATCGGTGATGAGATTGTAGGAAGTAATGAAGTTGAAAGATCAAAGACTGAGAGAGCTGAATTAATTTATACAACTGGTTCAGAGTAATCTCTGCATCTCCACCAATGGAGCTTCAGCTTCCCAGGAGATTCAGTAACTCCTTCAAGACAGTAATCGCTATGATGTTCTCTGCTGTATTTTAAGTAAAATACAAAGAAACAGATGAGATTGTACAAAGTAACTTGATTTAAATTCTCCAGTAATAAGACTGAAGTTCTCTATTTAAAAGCTCATTGCAATAGCTTAGTTTTTGTTTTAAAAAGACAAATACATATGGCCACTGCACACACCATAGGTTTCAGCTGGTGATCGAAGGATATTTCTAAGGTGATACGTCCTATCCATAGTTGAAGAATAACGGACAAATTTATGTTTTCAATATTCTGATTTACTATCTTAAAGAAAATATGTTTGAATTAAACACTTTTAGTCAATTTCATCCCTCTGATTTAGAAATTATCAGGATATAAATTTGGACATTCCTCATGAGTCAGTGCAGTTCAGTTTATATACTAACCTTTCCTTTTTAACTATGATACTTGGACAGAAATGCAATAATGTGTGAATGTTCTAGTCTGCTGGAGTCACATGACATCTGGCATGAGGGACACACTGTATTGGTGGAGTTTTTAAACTTCACTTCAATGAAGTCCTTATGTTGAACACACAGCTGTGTTGTACACTCAGAATATGTGCTTAAAATGTTTATATATGCTTAAATATATAATGGGAAGGTGTATTTAACAGTAGGGAATAGGAAACTTTGGCTACCATGTTGTTCAGGCAGGCTTAGCAAATCAGTTGGTCTTTACCTCCAACCAATTCTGTATTAGGTGGATTGACCATGTTAAATTGCCCATAATGTCCAGGGATGTGCAGGTTAGGTGGATCAGCAATTAGAATGGCAGGATCACAAGGGGAGGCTGCGGGGATGGGTCTGGGTGGGTTGCTCTTTGGAGGGTCAGTTTGGACCTGATGGGCCAAATGGCCTGCTTCCCCATTGTAGGGATTCTACGATTCTAATCCCTATATCTGCTATTTGGCAATGTTCAATAACAGTTCAATTGTCTAATATCCACAGACTTCTATTAATTAGAATTGTTGCAATGGTGTACATGTGGTAATCTCATATTGCAGTCCTGGTCAGGAGTCTCACTCACTGAGAGCGCATCCTGAGAAAATGCTTAAGCACATTTGTTTGAACTTGATTTTCCATTCATACTGGATTTTAAAAGATACGAGGAGTGTGGGCATAATTTGCGGATATCTGCTTCTTAAAGGTGAATCTTCAAATGGCAGAGAAAGGAAATAATTGCCCTATATTGCTCGTCTCAACACTGCAAAATCACAAAGTCTATCTTAAAAAGGATTTGCATGCGTGATTCAGTCAGTTATGTCAGTTCTTCTTCTCTTGAGTGGTGTGTTCAGTATGTGTTTGCTGGCCCAAGGATCTCACTGTTCATTTCCTGGTGTCCTCGTGTTTCACAATTACAGCCATTCACGGCTCATTAAAGCTGCGTCCTCCATGCCATCTGTGGATATTAGGTGATTGAACTGTAAATTGAACATTGCCAAATAGCAGCTATAGGGATTAGAATCATAGAATGGGGAAGCAGGCCATTTGGCCTATTGGGTCCAAACTGAGCCTCCAAGGAGCAGCACAACCCCACCAGCCTATCCTTGTGACCCCACATTTCCAATAGCTGATCCACCTAGCCTGTACATCCCTGGACACTATGGACAATTTAGCATGGTCAATTCACCTAATCTGCAAATCTTTGGACTGTGGGAGGAAACCAGAACACCTGGATGCAGGAAGAATGTGCAAATTCCACACAGACAGTCACCCGAGAGTGGAATTGAACCTGGGTCCCTGGTGCTGTGAGGCAGCAGTGCTAACCACTGTGCCACTGTGCCACTGTACCACTGGATTAATTTGGGCATTCTTCTCTATCAACTAGCTCTCTGCTCTCCTTAAATAAAAGACAAGGAGATTATAAATGTTGTACCTTTGCTTCCACAAGGCAGGAATAAACCTGAAGTTTATACGCCAGTCAGCTTGATTTGGTGATGGGTTAAATCTTAGGAA